GTCTCATTAATGCCTCCTTCGTTCATATTCTATCTAAGCACATCGCATATCCTAATGTATTTTGACATTATTTACATATGTGTCTACCTCCCCCACCCCTAGGATGTGAGCTTCTAAATGACTGGGATCTTAAAGGGTTTTATTTAGCTCTCTCCTGTTTATGTTACCACAACACCCTACTCTCGGTGCCAACATCTGTTTTAGTTTTCTATTGCTGCATGACAAATGCTTTGTCCCATAGGTCGTCTCCCTGAAATGAGGCAGGGCGCTACGCTAGCACACGAACACTGGGAGGCAGGAATCACTGGGATGCACTTGGAGGTTGGCTATCACAGTGCCTATGCTGAACCAGTTGTTGATCATAGTACTGCTCTGAGACCCACGCTGGAGGGACTTGTCATGAGCCCCACATTTTAGAGGCTCCACTCTCAACCTCTTCCAGCCTCACCTCTCTGCAAATGGCTAAGGGCCCAGTGTGTGGGAGCATGGAGATGTGCACACTCAGAACCCACACTGCCTACCCCAAACCATGTTCCATGTATCTGGGGCCCTGAATTTGCTGCCAGGGTAGCCCCAGGCCCCAAGGTAAGCCTACATGCTCCTCTTCATTGGATCTGCTTCTGAGGGTTGAGTAGCACTGCCAATACTATACCTCCAGGACTGGGAGGCGACAAAGTGGTGGTTGCTGTATGAGGGAACAGGGGCCAAGTGGGCTTCGATATCCTTGTATATGCATGTGAGGTCTCCTGAGGTGAGGAATGGAGCTCAGAGTGAGCAGAGAATGCGAGGAGGCTGGATACGGGGCCCTGGAATGTGAACCAGTGGCCTGGGGTGGGGTCATCCCACTCTCCATATTTTCAAAGTAGGAATAAACCTGTTTTTTAATGGAGAAGGAGGTCTGGATGCCAGGAGACACATTGTGACAGTGTTGCAGCTCTTTTTGTGACTTCTTTGGTCTTTGCTCTACGAAAAACTACAATTACAAAAAGAGAAACCATTCTCTAACAAATCTCAGTCTGTTTGTAACAGGGAAGAGAAATCAAATAGGATATTGACAGTTCAGATCTGAGAATTGTCAGAGCAGGAAAATGTTCTTAAGAAAGATTGTGCTGGGGCCAGCCCAGTGGCACAGCACTTCAGTTCACACGTTCCACTTCGGCGGCCCAAGGTTTGCCAGTTCCGATCCCGGGTGTGGACCTGAGCACCACTTGTCAAGCCATGCTGTGGTAGGCGTCCCACATAAAAAGTAGAGGAAGATGGGCACGGATGTTAGCTCAGGGCCAGTCTTCCTCGGGAAAGAGAGGAGGATTGGTGGCAGATGTTAGCTCAGGGCTAATCTTCGTAAAAAAAAGGATTGTGCTGATCCTAAATGGGCTCCATAGGGGTGCCTCCACAAGCTGATGGCTGGTAACCTCTAGGAGGCCATGTGCACCAGGGAGAAGGGGTCCTGAGTAAGAGGACTTGTGCACGCAATACATGCGGAGAAAGTGAGATGAGTGGCACAGAGGGTGGTTGCGGTCAGCGCTGGGGAGAGGGGCAGGAAGGCTGGTGGTTTTTCTTCAGCCTTGCCCAGGGACGAGGTCCATAGGTCCTATAAAAAGATGGGCTCCAGGATCCAGCTGCAGAGGCCACTTCCAAAGCCAGGGGCAGCGCTGTTTCTGTGCTTTGGTAACAAATGGCGACAGGGAGTGAGGAAGGGGAAGGGGTGATAGGCCAAACATTCAAACTGGACCCCCTGTAACATTTGTAACATTTAAAGGTTTTGGGGCGAAGTTCAATTGGGGGCCTACATGCCATGTATAAAAATATTTGAAAGGTTTAAATCAACTAATAAACTGTTGAATAAAATATCTCATCTCTAATAACATGAAAAGTTCACCTTCTTAACAACCTGAGAGACTAGGTTCAGATTTAGAATACTGAATGTATTTTAGTAATATATTTTTCTTATTTAGTTTATCGAGAAAATTTAAAAACACACATCTCTCAGTAACAGGTATAAGTCTGGAATGGTTGGTTGGGTGAGGTTCAAGACATACTTTTGGATTCCTGGAGTCCAGGACTGCGCTCTGCTGGGCCTGGTGGAGAAGGAGGTCGCAGGTCCTGGCCAAGTCAAGGGCAGGAGACTATATAAGAGTGTGAATTCCAGAAAGTTGGGATTATGGGAATCAGCCCTTGGTCTGGCTTCCATCCTTAGACTCCTCAAAGTTCTGTTGCAGTGATGTGACGAGAGCGGACCTACCACCTTCAGGCCCCTGGTCCACATCCCAGGCCATAGAGCTCAGACTGCCCCCTTCTCCATGCACCCTGACGCTCCTCCCTCACCATGAGAGGCTCCACGTGCAAATATGTGGAGAATGTGGCTCCTTGTCCCTTGTTCCCTGCATACAGCCATCACCATTTGGTTCCCTCTCAGTCCTGGGAGTATAACACTGACAGTGCCACTCAACCCGACGAAGCACAGACTCAGTGAAGAGGAGCATGTGGGCCTCTTGGGGCTTGGGACGTGCGGCCCCCTGGGAAGCAAATTCAGGGCTCCAGGTACCTGGAGTATGGTTAGGAGCCGGGGCATGGACTCTGAGTGCGCACAAAGAAAGGCGTATGGACAAAGACCCGTGGGTGTCTGTTGTCTAAGGTGAACCTCATAAGATTCTTAAGACCGCATAAGGGCCTTTAATATAACATGTATTAACCATTAACTATAGTTAACAGATTAAGTACAGTAATTCAGAAATGTGCACACACGTACACACACACACATACACGCACACACATAAACACCGCGAGCATGGCATGAACCAAACCCAACCAGGGGCCTTTCAAGTGACACTCCAGGGATGAATTCCTACTTGGACGAATCTTTCATTAAACTACTGTGACAAAAGTCCTTGTGCCTTTTTTTCGTTCTCATCATAAGAAATACTGGGGGCCACTACAAGATAGTACATTTGTAAAGGTCAACACTGGTGACAGAAAAGGGTTGTGGCTACATTACACCAGCTTCATTTCAACGGACCTTTATCAGGCCCCTCCTGAGAAGAAAACACAGCGCTAGGTGCTTTAGGAGAGACAAACAACTAAAGCCCTTTAAGGTCCCAACCATTCGGCAGCTCGCACTCTAGGGAGCGGGGGAGCTACACACATAAATAAGTAACGTTAATGTACTCTAGGGTCTGAGATGTGCTACCCAAGAAAATAGAAAAAAGCATTGCTGCTAACTAGCAAGCACTCCCGCAGCCTCAACTAAATGCGGGAACTAGGCCTTCTACACTCAAATCCCTGGTCTTCTCTTTCTCTGGTCTGGTACAACTTCACTCCTTTTTTCCTTAAACAAGCTGCAGCTATTACGCTCCTTTTCTCCTTTTCCTCCTTTATTTTTTATTAGGAAATATTTCAGACCTACACCAAGGTACGGAGAATACTACGTCCATCCACTCCATCACTCCACTTAAGAAACATAAGATTACGAATAAACTTGAAACCCACTGGGTACCCCTCCCCAGCTGGATTCTCCCTCCCTACACGAGATCTAACCAATGCCCTAAATAAGGACTTTATCATTCTCACACGGAGCTTTCTGCACGCTGCATATGTATGCATCACTTATGTATGCCTCGTACTACAAACATATGTATCTACAGTCACTCTAATGATTCTGCATGTTTTTAAACTTCATATATGCATGGAATCATAATGCTTTCATCCTTCTGGAGCTAGCATTTTCCCTTATCCACTTGTCACTTCCACCACCCAATTTTTGCCCCTTGTTCTAAGTTGAATTGTGTCCCCCAAAAAGAGGCACTGAAGTCCTAGTCCCTGGAACCTGTAAACGTGACCTCATCTGGAAACAGGGCATTTGTAGGTGTATTCCAGTAAGATAAAGTCATACTGGATCAGGGTGGGCCCCTAATCTGATATGACTAGAGTCCTTAAAAGAGAAGAAATGTAGAAACAGACACACAGAGGAAAACACTACATGAAGATGAAGAAAGAGATTGGGGTCACCATTTACAAGCCAAGGGACGCCAAGGATTGACAGCAACCACCAGAAACTAGGAGAGAGGCCCTGGAATAGACTGTCCCGCAGGGTCTCCAGAAAGAACCACTCCTGCTGTCACCTTGATTTCAGACTTCCGGCCTCCAGAACTGTGAGAGAATAAATTTCTGTTGTTTTAAGCCACTGAGTTTGTGGTAATTTGTTATGGCAGCCCCAGGAAACGAACACATCCCTCCAGGAGTCTTTGTGTGTCAGGCCCCCGAGAATTCTAGTCTCTTCCTCAGTCCACATCTTACCATCCTGTTTAGTTTACCTGCAACAGTATCAAGTCAGTGAATTAAGGCTGGTCCTACTGTAGTGAAGTTCAACGTTTTCTCCCATTGACCTAAACCAGTGGTGCTCAAACTTTAGCGTGTTTCAGAAGAACTGGAGTCCCTGCAAAACCCTGATGGCTAGCGGCCGACCTTCAGCATTTCCAATTCAGTAGGTCGGGAGTGGGGTCCGAGAACTTGCCTTGCTAACAAGTTCCCAGGTGTTAGTGATGCTGCTGGTCCACAGCAGCCCAACAGCACCATCTGGTCTCCGGCAAGCTAGGTCATCCATCGTTTGCATTCAATAAAACGCACCAGAGGCCAGCCACCATCTATATCGTTACAGGAAGTGATTATAACTTTATATTTTCATTTATTGAGGCTGCAATAAAAGAATTAAAACAGGCTTACGCAATAACTTAAAGAGATTCCTTTCAATCACACTAAGGTGGGCCAAACCAAACAGAAAAGACACAAAGATAGATTTGAATCTGTGGTATTTATGTAAAAAAGAAACCTGCAGCTTATTCATTTCAAACAAGCTTTTATTTTTAACGTGAACGAATGTTGTCATCTATATCCCTCATGAGATGTCAGTTAACATCATTGTTGGGTGATGAAGTATGAAACAAAACTCATGCTTTGGGCTGCTGCAAACTAGAATATCCATGAGGAACAAATTCATTTTTTTCTTTCACCATCCGTTTCTTTCTACGCCTTCGGACTGTAGGATGGAATAAGAGGCAATTAACAATTTGTACACCATTCACACGCAACAGTGACTTTTTAAATATGAGTCAACCCTATGTACATCTGTTCTCAACAAGCAGAAAACAAAATGTTTTCTTCTTGTAACCCAGACCCTTGGATATCATGGCCCACATGCCTCAATCATTTGACCACATCAACCTCGTCTCCCTCTTGCCCACCACTATAAATGTGTGATTTTTTTCTTGAGAGGCCACTCTGTGATTTAAATAAGTCTTTCCACTTCAAAAGTCTGGGCTCTTTACACAAATCATAAATCCCTTATACTCCCAGACCTTCCGTTTCCATATCTATAAAATGTGGCGAGGCTGTTATTAGATATCCACAGCTGTGAACATTCAGGAAGAGAGAGGGAGCAGAGGGAGAGGAGAGAGAGAAGGATGGATAGAGGAAATATAAGACTTAATTATCAATTCATTGATAAACAATAGTTTACTGTGACTAATTTTCTTTTCTTGTGAATGTCACATGAAACAAAAAAATCTAAATTTAACTACTATTTGTGAATTAATCTTGAAATGGGGTCTTACTACTTGGAAAGGTGTCACCTTCTCAAAGGCATCATTATTACAAGGGACTACATTTCTGTGGCCAAGGGATGAAGGCACAGCCAGTGCGTCGCCTGGCCACCTTAGCTGTTGCTTCTGGAGACCATCCTCTCAAAAAACACTGGTCTCTAAATGTCCCAGGTCTGATAAATTTACGGCTCTAGTAGTCTTATAGCTACAGGACAAAGGACTGGTGGCTAAGAATGAAGTACATTTCAGAGCATACTGCCTCTAGATTTCCTAGTATACAAGGATATGATTAACATAAAACTGTTCCTTCAAAACTGAATTTCAAAACGTTTTTCCTATTTACTTTGCAGAAAAACTTCCAAACATAAAGTTGTCAGTAACAGGCATACGTCAGGAACGATTAGTTACTGTTCCAGGCTACACGTTAATACCTGGATTCTCCGGGGCTGCCCTCTGCGCAGTCCATGTCCATTTCGAGTCCTTCTTCTGGTTCTTCACGTTCATCCTCTTCCTCACCTCCCGCTTCCTGGGCCTCCTCCTCAGAGTTGCCATACTTATATTCAGCCACTTCTTTAGCGAAGAATGATACGGACTCTGGGATCACAAGCGGGTGGAAAAAATATTCCAATTTAAAATCAGTATGGACATCCAGAACTCCCGCCTCAGGAGAATCTGGAGAATAGAAATACGTTAAAAACAAGTCTAGCTTCCATCTGCCACCATACAAATGTCCCCCTCCACATCTTTGGCATGAAGTAGTCTATGCAGAAGTCGAAATAGCATGATGCACACACAATGGTATCAACCAGTTACCTCCACAAATATAAATTTAAACAGTAAAATAAAATAACAAGAACAGCTGGGCATGTTCCTCCTGGTTGAAACAACACTTCCGTGGCCCTCCCATTTCTGCTGCTTGAGAGTTTTTACGGTGACGTTTTTCCCCTCTTCCAGTACATCTCACACCCCCTGCTGCTGATTCTGGCCCTTGGGAGAAGGAGGGAGCAGGCTCATCTGGTTCTGACAGCATCTGGTGTGTTTTTGTCAGAACTTCACTGGGAAAGATTTGTTTGATTTAAAGACAAATTCTGTGGTGAAGCTCATTAGCTCCTCAACCCCTGCAAAGGGCGCCAGGGCCATTTCATCCTTTTCTTGGATCATCTTACCAAGAATCTTCACCTTTTTAAAAGCCATCAAGCAAAAGCGAGGTATACCATTTGTTTGCCCTTTTCCTTCAGGCTCACTGTCCACTTCCTCCCAGCTCCCTCCTGAGCACCTGCTTCCCAGTGACATTCACCTTCTGTGGGCTCATGAATTGCACTGATGATCTCAGATCTCTTATTGAACAGGGCTTCGTAAAAATCGTACTTTTTCTCAAGACTGTACAGGTCTCTACAGAATTGGGTACATTCAGCCGAAGCGTTTCGAAAAAAATGGACCTGTAGCTTAATCACCTGAGGCAAGCGCTAAGAGTGGCCTGCAAGTGAGCCAGCTGCGCCCACGGAGGCTCCGAGAGCCTGAAGATGTGGCCTCCATCCACCACCTCAGTTTCCTAGGGTGCACAGCCCCAGCCTCCCCAGGACATGGCAGTGTCAGCCAGCACTTCACCCTCCCAGGCCTTGACCTCCACCGGTTCCTCTGCCTTCTGGGATGCAGCCCTGTCTGCGGGTTCCTCCAGCTCCCAGGCGGATGCACCCTCTGCCAGGTACTTGCCGTCCCAGACCTGGGCTCCCGGGATGTGCCACCCTCTCCCTGGTCCTCGGGCTCCTGAGATTGCGGCCTGACCACCACGGAGTCAGCGTGGGGCGGGACCAGGATGTGGTCCTTCTCATGGATGCGGTGTAGAAGGGAATGGACCAGAGCCCAGAACAGGGACCACGAGCGCGCCATGGGGAGCTCACAGAAGCCCAAGACAACTTCTGCGGCCTCCTTACCATCCTCCTCTTCCTCTTTGTCCACATGATTCTCACGCTCTTGCTCGTCGCTTTCTTCCTGCTCCTCTTCTTCGTCCTCCTCACCCCCTTCCTCTGCCTCTCCCTCCTCCTGCTCGTCCTCCTCCTCCCCAACTGCCTCCTCCTCTCCTGGCACCCCTCCTCTTCTACCTGCGTAATCCCAGTTCTCGATGATGACTTCGGGATTCCAGCCAAACCTTTCTCCACATGGGCTGCACTATTGCCTGGAAGTCCCAGGGTATGCGGCCCTGCGACTTCGGCCCCCACTCCGCAGCTGTTGGATCGGGGTCCTGGCCCACCCCACCACGGCCTCTGTTCTGGCCACCAAGGTCTGGGCTTCCCTTCTCTACGGCAGACATGGGGGAGAGAGCACCACTCCCTCAACTGGGGAAAACGATTTGGCGGTTGATAACGGTGCAAAGATGGCAGCCACCAAGCTAACTATGGCTGCCGAACCTGGGGCAGCAAGGCCTTCTGGGAAGCGGTGGGGACGGCAGGCGGAGGGAAACACTCTTGGGTGTGACGGGAGGCGGGGCTTACGAGGGTCAACAAAGGTCCCTTCCCCATTGTGAGCTCTCAGCTCATTTGCTGAAAGGCGAGGATTGACATGCCCGGCGTCCAATGAATTTTCAAGTCCACTCAGTTTCAGAGTTTGGGTCCTTCCTCTCTTTACCTTGAGGCTTAGAGGTCGTGAGTTGCCCTTGGGGCCCACGCATGTCCTGTCTTTTAATTCTACCGTGGCCAGCAGAACTACAGTATTCCAATATGGAGGCATCCGCTGCACAGGGTGAATTGTACCCTGATTTCCACTGGAGATGGCTCATGCCAATAGAGACAGAATCAAAAAAGTTACTAGTTCAGATTTCAGCAATAGTAAAAACCTACCTAAGAGAGAGAAAAGAATCTGGATTTTACCACTATTGAAGCTCTTTGAAAACAACATGCAATTGAAATGGATGCAGTCACAACAGAGAGTTGAAGAAGTGTTAAAAACAGACGGAACGCTGCTGAATTCACCTCAGCCTCCAAAGGATGAATAAAGAAACAGAGATCCTTCTTTTAAAGAACAGAAGAATTCTTGGCATAACGTTATTCACCAGTAGTCATAAGACACTGCTGAGGCAACTTAAATCGCCACGGGGCCAGCCCCACAGAGATCTTCTTTTAAAGACCAAGCTAAGCTATAGACATTAAAAAGCAGGCTTCCTAGAGTGATTCCGAGTCAACAGCCCAAGACTTTTTGTTGCATTCAGCCCCACTCAGCCAAGATCTCAATGTAAACAATTCTGAAAATTTTAAAGAAATCAACAGCTATTTTATACTGATTCCATCTACCACTGTTACTGGGCAAGAAGCACCAAAAGAATTCCTGATGAATCCTCTGCGTTCAGACATACTTCTCCCTATCCCCATAATGTAGCAACAACTCACATCTGTGCGTGGTAGTCAGGGTCAACTTGCCCCACTACTGTATAACTCCTTTCTTTGTCTGCTGATCCACTGCCACGAGGAGATATATGGACAATAGCATGTTCATGTGAATGCGTGGATATGCATCTGGTTCGTTATTGTAAGCTAGTTAACATGTGAGTATATTTGCGAGTGTAAGTGCATGTGAATGTATTTTCTTTTATCAATGTTTGAGCTTTATGGTGGATGTAAGCATGTTTGTGTGCAAGTATCTATGTGAGCACGTTCCTGATTATGAAAATGTCAACATTATATTAGTTTCAATGTATGAATGGATAAAGAAAATGTGGTATATATACACAGTGGATTATTATTCAGCCATAAAAAAGGAGGAAACTCTGCCACTTGCAACAACATGGATGGACCTTGCCGGCATTATGCTATGTGAAATAAGTCAGACAGAGAAAGACAAACACTGTATGATCTCATTTACATGTGGAATCTAAACAAACAAACAAAACCCTGAACTCATACATATGAAGAACAGATTGGTGGTTGCCGGGCGGGGGTGGGGAGGAGTGGTGGGCGAGGGTAGGGCGGTGAAATGGGTGAAGGGGTCAAAAGGCACAAACTTCCAGTTATAAAATAAATAAGTCCTGGGGATGGAATGTACAGCAGGCGACCGCAGTTATTAATACTGTGTTGCATATGTGAAAGTTGCTAAGACAAACATTTTCTTAGGTCTGCTCTCAATAAGACCTTGTAAAAGGCTTTTCCTTACCTTCCGGGTAAGCTGCCTGAAAGGCCCAGATTCTTTGTCTTATCAGCATAATTTCCTGTGCTTCATGTTGATTTATCATGTCTTTCATTATGTAAGAGAACTGAGTCTTCTCACTTCTAAAAGAGATAAGGTTGTTTTCAACCATGTTACCTCTAACATTTACTTTTGAAATCTTTTATTGTCACTCTGGTTAAATGGGTAGCCAAACAGTTTCTTAGTGACCCATAATCCTATTAAGCCAAGCGTTCAAACCTATTGACATTTTTAACAACTCCTGTATTTTGCCTTCCCCAAATCAAACCCTTAATGAAATCTTCTTGATCTCAAAGTGACTTTGGGATTTCCCAGAGGGCTCCTGGAAAATCACAAAGAGTTTACTCTTTCCCCCTGTAAAGTGAGAGATGTTAAAAATAATTAGGTTTGTCTGATAGGTTGAGTTGCATGGGAAGCATTGTCAGAGAAGAAGAAATGCTTAACCTCTCTAGTTTACATTTGTATGGGTAAAATATTATTAAAATAAATATTTTAGAAATTGTATTAAGTTCCTACAAATGTCAATGCCCTTGCTGTCCATGATATATCCTGGTGCTGCTTTGCCTGATATTAGACACCATCAGCATGATGTCATCCATCATAATTCCAGTTATTATTTTAAAATGTTGTATGCCACAGAAACATCCAAATGTCCTTGTCAATTGCATTATTTTTATAAGGAACTTTCATCACATCTTTTACCATGGCTGTTCTAAGTCTTTTGTCATCCATAGATGGTTGTTTTACTTTGATCTTCCCTGAAAACTCTTGCAGTCAGCTACAGGCCAGAGTACTTGTCTTCCACAAAATGGGACTGTCTTGAAGTCCATAGAAAGGACCGTACCAGGTACTCTGGGCACAGAACCCCTAAGGCATTTGCTGAAATAACTTTGAGACCATACCGCTGGACTGAGTCCGGATTTCCAGAACTCTATTGGAGAAGCCAATGTGTTCATGAGATGGCTAACCCAACGTCAAACAGAACAAGAACTACACAGGGCTGCGTGAACTGATTAACGAGGATTATGTCTTTTGTTCGGACTGCTGCTTATGTTTTAAGGTTCTATTTTCTGGATATGAAGAACCTCTTTCTCTTCTAACTTCTGCTACCTGAAATTCATAACAGTTTAGTAGATTATACTTTTGTAAACAGAAATGAAATATTGATCTTTTTGCCCCTGCCTGATCACTCCAGAACTTGAATATTCCTATTAAATATTCTTATTTTCATGGGAATATAACTAATACATAGGTCCAATAAGAATCTGTCCTCTTTGTAACAGAACATATTTTTAAATATTGATTAGATAACCAAAGCTTTGATTGGAATATCATATTTGAGAATGATGCATATAATCAGATATGACCAGACGGTTTTAAGGGACACTTTATGAAGCCAAGGCTTACAAAGTTCTCTTGGAGAAACGGGCCTGGTACCTGGCTTACAGGTTTGTCAGCCTTACAGGTGAGTAGGAGAGGTCACCTGCTGGCAAACCTAGGAAACAGGATATTTTGGGGACTTCAAGAAGAGAGTAATTCACCCAAGTCTACAGGTATTGCAGGTAAATTCTGGTGGTGAGTTCTTGGCTTGGCTCCCCAGAACTGAGAGGTTTTTAAAAGTCCAATCTGAGATTCCTTATGGAAAGTGCCAGCAAAGCCAACTACAAAAAGGCCTATGTGGTCAATTACCATTCTTGCTGCCCTTATGGAAATAATCAGACCAAATCTAAGGAGACCAAACATTTCATAAACAAGAATCCTCTTTGATTATCTTTGATCAAAAAGGAGGTGACTACTGAGAGAAATTCTATATTTAAATAGAAAATACACCCTTGTGAGGTATCAGATCCTTGTCCTGTTTATTGTCTTTGAGCTGTTTTGCACTTCTCTGTAAACTACATGTTTTGTTACCTACCCATAATTGGACTAGATCCTGCTATCTCACATATTTCATCAGTCCTTACCAAATTCTCAGTTCTTCCAATTTCCTTCAACATCTGGCTGTGACTCCTCAAACTTATGTTTCCAATTTTTCTCCAACCCTTCTGACTTGACGTCACTGAGAACTCAAAGCTGACTGCCCAGATCCTTACTGCAACCCTAGGTTGTCTTGTAACTGGCTTTCCTCGTAGGATCTAAAGAAGCCCTGTGAGCCGAGGCTAGACAACATGATGTAAACTTCACAGGTCCCATCACTTCGGCAGAGCATGCATGGACAACCTTCGTCCCTGGAACTGCTGCTGTACGGGCCACTCAGGAAATTCACCAAACTCCCACATCTTCCATGCTCTACTCAGGAAATAATCACGATTCTGGATGACCTTACCAAAACCTTTCTGATGTCTACACCACCACCAAAAACATCCACTGCAAACTAGGAAATCCATCAGATCGTCACTGCCATCTTTACTCCGCCATCTCAACACGCTTCAAGCGCAACATCTCGAAATTTTCTCAACTGGCTGTCCTTCTGGACTCAGAAACTCGGTTTAAATAGTCCACTCCAAACATCAATCTTTCCTATTCTTTTCATAGAAATCCCCCTCATTAAATGCCTGATTGCCCATACCATCTAGCAAATATCCTCTACTACTAAGTGTCAACAGATGGTTTAGCTGGTCCTTAATGAACAAGAGGTGACTGAATAAGAAATAGACTTATACTGTTCAGAGGAAAGAAGAATGTCTCTTCTTTCCTTGAACAAGAGGGGGGACTGACAAGAACTCTCTCCCTGACCAAACTTTAGGCTGTTCTGAGCCCTCTTCTTGACTGGGCCTCAAGCTTGACCCTGTCTTCCGCCTGTCAGGCCCAGTTTTAGCAAAACTCCTTCTAAGCCAGTTTAGCAAGAGTCCCCTCAGCCTTCACATCTAACCAAGATTTTCATCCTTCCCTTTGATATCTAATCAAGTTCCACCCCCTTCCCAGCCTCCTTTGATACCTGTGTTAGTCAGCGTTCTCCAGAGAAAAAGAACGAATAAGACATCTATAGATCT